CATGAAATTTAAAAAATTCTAGTCACAATAGCAGAAGGAATAAAATACTTAGGAATAACTTGGCCAAGAAACATAAGATTTATACACTGAAAGCTACAAAGTATTGCCGAGAGAATTTTAAAAGACAAATAGAAAAATATTCTGTGCTCGTGGATTAGATTTAATTTTGAGGGAGAGAGCAATACTCTACAAATTAATCTACAAAGTCAATGCAATCCCTATCAATCCAGCTGCTTTATTTATAAGCTGATCTTAAAATTTGTATAGAGTTTCAAGGGGGATCAAAATAGCCAAAATAATCATGGAAAAGGAAGAACACAGTAGCAAGACTTACCTTCAATTTCAAAATTTACTACAGCTGGAGATATATCTCAGTGGCACAGCGCCTGCCTGGCAAGCGCAAGGTCATGAGTTCAATTCCCAACACCAAAAAAAAAAAAAAAGAAAAAACCACTTACTACAATCTACAATAGACAAGATATTGTTTTTCTGGCATAAAGGTAAACATATAGACCAGTGGAACAAAATTGAGAGTCTAGAAATAAACCTATATATCTACGGGTGAATTATTTTTTCAACAAGAGTGTCAAAATTGGGGCTGGGGATTTAGCTCAGCGGCAAAAGCGCCTGCCTGGCAAGCGCAAGGTCGTGAGTTCGGTTCCCGGTACCGGAGAAAAACCAAAAAAAAAAAAAAAAAAAAAAGAGTGTCAAAATCACTCAATGGAGCAAGAATATTCCCTCCAAGAAAGGATGCTGGGGCAATTGGATATCCACAAGAACAGAATAAAGTCGGACTTTTGTCTCACTATATATGTAAAACCTAAGTCAAAATGGATCATCAACCTAAATGTATTTGTGGAAACTATAAAACTCTTAGAAGAAAGCATAGAAGCAAGTTTTTATGACTTGGATTAGCCAGAGTATTCTTAGACTTGACACAAGAAACAAAAGGAAAACTACAGGTGTTCCTCAATTTATGATAGGGTTATGTCCCAGTAAGCCCACCATAAGCTGAAAATACCCAAGTCAAAAATGCATTTAGACACCTAAGGTACCAACTAACATAGCTCAGCAATAGAATACACCATAAAGTTTCATTTCCACTTATGATTATGTAGCAAACTTGGAGCTGTGCTTCACTGTCACTGTGCAGCATTGCGAGAGAGTATCTGTATTGCATCTTGCTAGCCCAAGAAAAGATGAAAATCCAAAATTTGAAGTAAGTTTTTTTTCCTGAATGTGTATCACTTTTGCACCATTGTAACGTCAAAAAAAATGTAAGTTGAATCATCCTAAGTCAAGGACTATGTAGAGAAACTCAGCAAAATTTAAAACTCACAAAATGACCTCAAGAGAAGGAAAAAAGGACACACATAGTGAGAAAACATTTGAAAATAATACATCTGCCAAAAAACTTTTCTTTAGGATAAAGAACTCTTACAACTTACTAACACAAAGACTAATACTCCAGTTTAAAAATAAACAAAATACCTAAGCCAACATTCCCAAGGAAAGAATACACATATTAAGTAAGAATATGAAAATATGACTGATCATCAGTCATTAGGGAAATGCATATAAAATCAGAGTGAGATAGCACTTCACACCCACTAGGACGGCCAGGCTAAAGAAGTGAGATAATGGCAAGTATTCGAGAAGATGTGAAGAAACTGAAACTCTCATCAGTTCCAACTTGGAGTGTAAAATGATGCAACCACTGTGGAAAACTGCCCAGCCTCTCCTCAAAGGATTAAACAGTTGCCATAGGACCCAGTCATTCCATTCTTAGATGTAAACCTAAAAGAACTGAAAAGGGTATTCAAAGCAAAACTTGTGCATGAACATTCATAGCAGAGCTATTCACAATGGGCTAACTGTAAAAAAATCTAAATTTCCATTGATGGATGAATGGATAAACAAAATGTGATCTATTTGTACAGTTGAATATTATTCAGCCATAAAAATTAATGAAGTATAGTTGCTCCTCAGTATCCTTAAGAGATTAGTTTCAGGATCCCTTTTAGATAACAAAATCAGTGATTCTCAAGTCCCTTATATAAAAAAGATGTGATATTTGTGCATAACTACACATATCCTCTGCATAGATAAATCATCTCTAGATTATTTATAATATCTAATACAATATAAATGCCATGTAAATAGTTGGTTATACTGCATTTGGGGGGATGTCACGGTTTGTGTCTAGATGTCCCCTCAAAACCTCATGCAGTCATGGGGCAGGTTTCTAGAGTTTTTGATTGAGCCATGGTCCAATGGTGGGATTATGGGTATGAGTACTACACCCACCCTGGGGCAGGGAGCCTGTATACAACATAAGGGAGGGAAAGAGGCTTGCTTTTCTCACTCCTCCCTTTTGTTTTTGCTGCTCCTCCCTTTTGCTCTTGCTGCCTTTGCCCTCTGCCATGTGCTTCTCTGCTTTGGAGCCAGTTGAGTATGGCCTGAAATTTCCACAAACTGTGAGCTAAATAAACCTTTTCCTCCTTAATTTTGGGTGTCGGGTATTTTGTCCCAGCAATGAGAGAAAAGTAAGTAAGGCAGGGGAATAATGAGAAGAATGCAATTTTTCAATTTTTTTCTTATACTGCAGATACAGAGAGTCAAGTCTACATATATATATATAGATAGATAGATAGATAGATAGAGATATAGACATATAGGAAACATTATGCCAACTTAAAGCACCAGTCACAAAACTCACATACTGATACTTACATTAATATGGAATGTCTGTGATAAGGGAACCTACAGATACAGAAAGTAGATTAGTGACTGCCAGAGGCTGGAAAGAAGCAGTATAGAAGGGCAATGTTTTATTTTGTTTTTACATTCTTAGACTTTATTCTGTCCCAGTCGTCCCTATCTTCTTCCTTACACTCTAATCCTGCAGATTCATTGCCACTGTACAAATAAGGAAGAATAATGTCTGGTAGATATGAAACAGAGAAACATTCAAATAGAAGTGAAGAGGTGGGAACACTGAGGTAGGAGTGATGCTGAAAAGTAGAACAGGAAAACCAGGGCTCAGTCACAACCAATTTTCACACTGAGGAGAAAGATGGGAATCGTTGGAAGTCTGTGTATATGGGAGGGAGCTATGTAGAGGGAAATACAATGTCTGCTAGTAGGTCCCTGAGTTGAGGGTAGAAAATTAGATGGAAGCATACCTCCTCACACTTGGCATAAAGGAAGAGAAATGAGGGTCAGAACCCACAACGGAGTAGAGGATTGGGGAAAGGGAGATGGACCCTGGCTTTGTCTCATTATATGTACCATGCAAAATATACTTCTTGAGGTAGCGTCCGCTTTCAGTTTCCTGGTATAACAAAATTCCTTTCACGCCTTGAAACCAAGCCCTAGAAGATCATTTTGGAGGCCAGGCAGTGGCAGGATGAAGACTGGAGATGGTTAGAAGCTTAGAAACCCACCAGTCCAAGAATCCGAATATTGGATTCCATGATGCAAGGGTGCCTGGCTGGGGGCTTCAAATAGGTCCTACGCTGCAGAGGGAAGTCAGCCATGGTGCTGGAGTCAAACTCTTCCACATGATGAATGACTTCAACCAGGTAATTGTCAACCTTGCTCAACTTGTTGCCAATAAGGTAGTCTTGTCCATGGCTCCATAATACCTTTTCAAAGGTGTGGTTTCTTGCTTTCTCCTTGATCTGGGCAAGGCTTGCATCTTTCTCCCCAAGTGGACAGAATGGGTGAAGAGCAGTCATTTCATGAATATCTACCATGATTTCTGTGCACATATTGATCAGGGATACATCTTTTACGTCTTTTCCAGAGGTTATATGTTGGAGATGTAGTTGAGAATGGCTCTGGTCTGCAGCAGCTTCATCCCATCAATTTCCACCATGGCCACTTACTCAAACATCAGATCCCCATCTGCCCTCCAGCTGAGGCCAAAAGCCACTGGATGGCCTCCATTCGCGCCCCGTGAGATAAAGTAGTGAGCAGGCTTCCTCGCCGTGACAACAGTGTCCTGGTTTCTTGCGTGACAGGGTGCTCCTTCTTAGTTCCTTCAGTTTCTTTCTGAGGTGACAAAAATGCTCTAAAATTAACCAAGGTGTCTGTTGTATGTATCTATGACTATACTAAAAGCCACTGAGTTATTCAGTTTAAGTAGGTAAATTATGTAGTATGTGAACTTATAGGCCTATAAATCTGTTTAAAAAGCAAAAAAAGTTAAGGCAATAATAAAAGATTAAACATTAAAAATACTGTACAAAGGACAGAAAGAGACGATTCCCAGAAGAGGAAATGCAAATGGTCAATGCAGAAGACATGGTGCTGACCTCAGCGTTATGTGAAATCAAGCAATACCTTTTTCTTTTAACTACATCAGCTCGGCAAGAATTAAAAAATGATAAAACACAGGGTGTGTGAAATATTGCAGAGAAATGGTCTTTTCTTGCATTGTTGGCTAGAATTTAAGTTGATAATTATTTTTAGAAAGTATAATGCTTATGTACACTAAATCTGAAATACTCCTACTGTTTGACTTCGAAGCTTTTAAGATGCTAGCTTGTAGAAATAAAGTGTGAGTAGTTGTACTTAAAAGAATCTTTTTTGAAGCATGGTAAAAGAAAAACGGGTTGGAAATAGTTATCTCTGATGTTTTTCTGACTGTAAAAGGCAAGTTTCAGAATCAGGGTACAGTTTGATCTAACAGTTTTAAAAAACAAACATGTTTATGTGATTATGGAAAAACTGGAGAAACATATAATTATGGACTTTTGTTTACTTTTTTATTGTTTTGCACCTTTCACTGAAAAGAAATTACATCTTTACCTTGAACAACAAGTAAATTTTAAATTAAGAAGAAAGACTATGAATTAATTACAAAGGAGGGGACCACGCTGTTCTTCGGTCCGTTTTTGTGTGCGCTCCTTTTCCAAACAGTTCGGCGGCCCCAGCGTCGCGTCTACGAGGGGAATTACAGTAACCCGCTCGTCGTGATGAGTCAGAGTGCGTGGTGCTGATGCTGCTGCCATTTCATCACCTTTGCGAGCGCAGCATCCATCCCTCCGCTCTCCCCGAGCCTGGGCCTACCTCGCTTTGGGCTGCCGGGCCAGCGATGCGCTCCCGGCTGAGCTAAATCGGAACCAAACCGCGCTGTCCGAGGCCTTGGCGGGGCGCCCGCTCCCGCCGCCCCCGTCCCGGGCCTAGGAGACCTGCCAAGCCGCGGCCATGGAGGCCATCTGGCTCTACCAGTTCCGGCTCATTGTCATCGGGGATTCCACAGTGGGCAAGTCCTGCCTCATCCGCCGCTTCACTGAAGGCCGCTTTGCCCAGGTTTCGGACCCCACCGTGGGGGTGGATTTTTTCTCCCGCTTGGTGGAGATCGAGCCAGGAAAACGCATCAAGCTTCAGATCTGGGATACTGCAGGCCAAGAGAGGTTCAGGTGGGAGCGCAGCCCGGGCCCGCGAGCAGTGGGAGGGTCTTCGGAGCTTGCACAGCCTCTGAGGAGAGAGGACTCTCTGGTTGTAGTCGGTACAAGGGTCTGGAGGGGTTCTGCTCAAGCCCACCTTGGGCTGGCTGGGAGTTCAGTGCAGGAGAAGAGCCCTGGCAGGAAAGGCTGCTCAGTAACACATCTTGCTCGCACCGCAACTCCCTCAGCCTGCCCCTGAAAGCTAATAAACTAGCTTGACTTGATCACTAGAATTCATCACTCTCAGGCCTTATGTTCCATACTTTCCGAAATGTTCCCAGGTCATCCCAACATAACTGACACCTACAGATACTATAGATAAGTCACATGCATATTGTTTTATTTCTATATCTCTATGTGTATATATATATATGTCTGTCTGTGGTGTGTGTCAGTGCACACGTATGTGTGTGCATTAACTGACTGATTCTTTCTTGCAGTCACAATCCATTCACTGACCACCTAAAGCACAAAGCTCCGGACTTGTTTCTCGTAAAGTGTGAGGAGACTCACATGTAGTCAAAACACAGCCCCTTCCCTCTTGTAACTTCTGTACTAGCATACTGGGGGAAATAATCAGCAATCATACGAGTGTCTTGTTTTTATTTGTATACTATTCCCTACTGTAACACTTGGCACATAATGAATAATCAATGAATGTAGTTACTTTTCTCTTACAACCCTTTGATTTTCCTTTGTAGAATATATTACTTGTAATTATATGTGTGGATACAGATGAGGGAAGTAGAAGATGAGGCCCAAGTAAAGACAGGAAATACGCAGGGATAGGAAACAGCATGTATAAAGACAGAAGGGACAGAAAACAGTGTATGCAGAAAACTTTGCAGAGAACGATTTGAGCTGAAGTCAGGTAGCACAGCAGGCATCAGACACAAAAGACTCAATAGCCCATGTTTATGATGATTTATTTATTTATCTATTGAACACTAATTGAGCGTAGAAGGTATTGGTTAGGTAACTGAAGAGAAGTAAAGAGAAAATTACAAACTTATCTCTAACTTCTCACTTCTAAACATGGGCAAATCGTCTTGTACAAATTCACTTTGAATGTGTGACTGCATTTGCCATAGTGAAGAAAGGTATCTTGTACATGTTTGTTGGAATTTCCATATGAACAGTCTGTTCATATTCACTGCTCCTTACTTACTGGGCAATATTGATTTGTAAGACTTCTTTACAGATTATTAGCCCTTTCCTGTCATGTATGTTGTAAGATATTTTCCCAGTTTGTCATTTATCTCTGCTTTTTTTTTTTTTTTTAGTTTAGGGAAGATATTAAGTTTTGTGTAGTTTTATGTTGTCCTTAGAAAGGGCTTTGCAACTAGCATTGTTAACTACTCACAAGCCACTCATATAATAACACAGTTCTAGGGTTTTGACATGCTTCTACAACTTGCTTATTGATTTCTTGAATCAAGCTTTAACAAATCAGAACTCTTGTTTATGTCTAGTTTTCTAGTACACATACTATTATTCAAGAATCTTTGGTCATAAGGGAATTAGAAATGTTTTCATTCTCTGCAGCTAATTTGCCTTGTTCTGGAGACTTGAACTCTTTTGTAATGTTTACTCTTACCAGAATCTAAATTGGACTGTAATTCCCCAGACAATTTTTATTCTGTTAACATGGGGCATTTTCCTTAAGCTTTAAGCTATTGAGTCCTTCATTGTTTATCTTCTTCATTTAAAAATATAAAACCAAAAAATACGCATATATCCACAATCACAGTAATCTAAAACAAGTGCTTGCAGAAGTAGTTGTACACCCTCTATGAAGCTCATGCACTATAAAAAAGGACCATAATATATTTTATAATGAGGCTCATTAAATGAAGAAGTTAAAATATGTGAGTGAGATTTCTTCTTTTTAATAAGTACAGCAAAGCCAGGTGTGGTAGCTCACACCTGTCATTCCAGCACTCGGGAGGCTGGGGCACGAGGATAACATGAGTTTGAGGCCACCCTGGGCTACATAGTGAGTTCAAGGCTAGCCTGGGCTACATAGTGAGACTCTGTTTCAAAAACACAAAAACCAGAAGTACAGCAAATGTATCATAAGGTTTAGACACTCCATTTACATTGTAATTAATGCTCTAATTATAATGATTTCAATAAACTAATTTTAAGGGGAAGACTTGACTAGGTCATTTTTCTCAGCTAGTGCTGAGTCAGCCTCTCTGAAATTTGTCAACAAGTACTGCAGAGAGGCATTTTGCTCCTGAACCCTTCACCATCCCCTTTTTTCCCATTCCCCAATCGCCTGGAGAATAGAAAACAAAATTATGTTTCTCCTCACAGTACAGATTGAGTACCCCTGTTAGATTGATAATAATAATTATCATTCCATAATTATTCCTTTATTGCTGGAATAATGGAAAGACAGAAAGAGACATAAATAAGAAAAATGTAGTATACCACAAGATAGCTATAGTTATAATTTAACTCTCGTAAATTCATTTTTATACTTAAAAAGTCCTGTTTCAATTACTAGCGTTTGTAATGAACTCTCCATGACATAGAACACTTTAGCACTCATTTCATTTTACCTCACAAAAACCCTGTGATGTAGGGATCTTATTGTGCAGAAGGAGAAGTCTTAGTTGTTCAGATTTGGGAATAGGAAAATCAGTTGTGATTCCTCTGGAAGGCAGGAACTAGAACTCAGTCATTCCCCAAGGTCATTTTCCAATGTTTAATCAAAGGAAAATGCCTGACATTCCATGAGCATTGATTTCTAGAAAATGCCGTCTCAAAATTTTACCCAATTGAAAACTCACATATCATTAAAGAATGGCATTTGTACTCTCTTGTTTAAAAAAAAAAAAAGAAAGTGACTTTTACTAAAGGACTATGTCGTTAACCAGGAACACTAGGGTACACTGAGTTCATTGGAGTGAAGGAGTTTGAGCACAACCTTTATTCTTTACTTCTTTCTTGTGTTTTAGATCCATCACTCGAGCCTACTACAGGAACTCAGTAGGTGGTCTTCTCTTATTTGACATTACCAACCGCAGGTCCTTCCAGAATGTCCATGAGTGGTTAGAAGAGACCAAAGTACACGTTCAGCCCTACCAAATTGTATTTGTTCTGGTGGGTCACAAGTGTGACCTGGATACACAGAGGCAAGTGACTCGCCACGAGGCCGAGAAACTGGCTGCTGCGTACGGCATGAAGTACATTGAGACGTCAGCCCGAGATGCCATTAATGTGGAGAAAGCCTTCACAGACCTGACCAGAGACATATATGAGCTGGTTAAAAGGGGGGAGATTACAATCCAGGAGGGTTGGGAAGGGGTGAAGAGTGGATTTGTACCAAATGTGGTTCACTCTTCAGAAGAGGTTGTCAAATCAGAGAGGAGATGTTTGTGCTAGTCGGCCCTTTTATTTCCAAAACATGCTCTCTCACATGAACTTAAAAGTGATCAAAAACAAGTAGAATCCTTATGTGACTGAAGAGAACTCAACCTTTGGATACCAAGTGAGCCTCCTTTGGGGCTGGGGGGCTTTTACAGGCTTATGTGTGGGTGGGTGGGGAAGCCTGGGTGCTTGGACCGAGGGACTGAGTTGCTGACGTGAGCTGGGCCATACACTGTTTTGTGGCACACGTTTGGCAGTGGCTGTTCCATGTGCCCTTTGTGGACATATTAAGGGCCTGGGGTTTGAGAAACTAGGTCCCAGGAAAACATACCTACGGAGAGGACGATTGTTCCTTGGTATTTCAGCTTATTCATGAGTCATGACCATAAATATGTAAAGAGAAATAGCATATTGGGAACAATTAACATAACTAACAAAGTAGGAGATCTACTTATTCAATGAGAGTATCTTATGCCAAATGTGTGTGTTAGGTTTGATTTAAAAATACCAATTTGCTTCTAACAGCTCACCTGTAAAATAAGGGGCATGGACCAGCAATTTGGTAAGGCCCTTTCAAGGCTTGGTGTTCTAGTACAAAGATATGAATAGGAAAAGGGAGGTAACTTATGCACTATTATTATGACATTTTAGAAAATGCATACCCTTGTGGTAGAGTGACCATCTGTGTCAAACCAATTATCCCATGCAAATTACCACATAAATAGCCCAGAGAAACATTAAAACCCAAACACCTGACCATACCTAGGATTTCACTGTTTTAGCAGTTGCAGACTCAAAGTTAGCAACCTGCCTGCTTCTTCAGGCACCTGAATCAAGCAACATAGGAACTCCCTCTGAAAGGAGCCCTGAGGCAAACGCTTTCATCGAACCTGTACGGAGCACTTGCTCAGCAGGAGGCACTGTTAACGTCCACAAACATGTTACAGTCACTCTGCTTATCTGATCACTGCAGGAGGCCTGTGAGGTTTTTTCCCCCACATTTTACAGAATAGTAAACTTAGGAACTCTTGATTCTTAGTTTCTTTTACGGGATCATTATTCTATCAGAGAAATAAATAATTATTAATTTGTTTGCTTTGGAAGACGTATGACTATAAATAAATGTTCTAGGTTAGGATATGTTTTCCCTATTGATTACAACTCAGCTATAATCATGAGGTACCCTGGGAATGAATCAAAGGAAAAGCCCATTCAAGTATTTCTGGCAAGAGGGCTTTAAACAAATGAATAATTGCACATCTGAAAACACATTAGAATTATGTAAACTATAAGTGTTCTTACCACTGGAATACAATGGACATTTTATTGAAAGGAACCAAATACAACAGTGGGGCCTGGGATGGGTATAAAATACTCGTCCCTCAATGATCTTGGTCACCTGTCTGCTATATACCTACACTGGGCTCCTATACCATAGAGAGTCAGCTCTTAATTCTCAGGAGAACAGACAGCTAACTGCATCAGCAAACTGGAATGGCTTGAAGGTTCCATTATCTTCTTGAAGAGAGGCGATGCTTTAAATTACTTTGGGGATTGTAGCCAGTTCAGCTAGGCAAAAGCCATACTTTTCACAGTGAGAAAACTATTCTGATTAGGGTCAGATTTCTCATATCCATTGTGGTAGGAAAGCTTAAGAATGGCAAATTGCTTTTTGAGATACCATGTTGAACTTCAGTATGAATGTGACTGAATCTGAAAGTTTGGGAATTTGCTTCAGCCAGAATAATGAAGCCAAACAATGACATTTCTGAAAGACCATTCTGCCATCTGTGCCCCAACTTGGATGAGCACCATGGACCAATTCACAGCATCAACTACAAGTGAACTGATCATTTTCTCTATATTCATTTCACATGACCTGGCTTGGGTGGAGTCCTTAAATTGTTAGCTTCCTGATGGTAGAGGCAAATAAAAGTTGGTTAATTGGATCAACACAAAATGTCAACTACTATAATTAATTATATTTAGAAGATTCTGAAAGCAAGATTATCCATTGGATAAATGAGAGTTGACTGGATACTTGTTAGTTCAAAAAAAAAGGATAGAAACAAAACTCCTCAGTTTTCTTGACTGAAATACATTAAATGTATACTTGCCCATTTCTGACATTTAAAAAGTAAGTTTTCAATACTCAGCGTAGATCCCCGCAGAGGTGGCTGAAACTGCTTAAGTAAGTTCTAGAAACTTTTAAAGAATTTAGTAGAATTCAGTGCTGTTGTCACTGCAGCAAGTGGGTTTTAGAAAATAAGTGTGAAAAAATCAGGTGTTATTATAATACTAAGGGTAAAGCTTTAGGAGCTATTTTACTACATAGGTAAAGAAAAGATTAACTTGTAACAAAGAACACAACTGCATGTTGGATTAGATTGTCTTATATTCCAGAATAAAATGTATTGTATACTTTTCCTCACTTTGTTCTGCACTGTAATGAAATGTGAAAAAAATCTTTACTTAGCTGTATGTGAATGAAAATATGCCTGTATTTAGTAAAATGGTTGATTATGTGATTGTGAGATTCCAAGTGTGTGTTGTAGCTATTTCCAGAATCGTTCACTTCAGTGTAGCAACCATTATCAAGGGTATCAATGAGATACGATATATATTTTGCACAGCAGTATTCATCAGTAGCTCAAAGCCAGAAAGAAAACATCATTTTTTAAAGTTATGTGACCATCATGTCAAAAGACACAGAAAAATCACTACTTCTTGGTCAGCACGTACCACTGTGGGAAAAGTTGGTTCTGTCAAGCCTACATCTTCATCATTGCAATTTCTAATCAAAGACCTTAATTCTCTCACCCGGTAATTGATTATACCTACTGACTTCCTGGAAAGTCTTTTGCTTCAGGCTAAATTGCCTGAGTCCTACTATGGTGTGCTTTTCATGTCACTATCATTTGGAGTGGGAAAGCTCAGGCTGGAACACAGTCACTTAGCACAGTTCCCAGATGGACAGTACACATGCAGTGGAGGGTATAGAAGGGGAAGCCATTTGATTCTGAGTCTGGGCATAGGTAAGTAAGTTCTGTATAGTTTATTCACTTTTATAACCATGAACAAATGAAGGGAAGGAAGAAGGGAAAAACGTCACAGCGTTTGATATACTTTATCACTTCTTAAAATGCCCGCTAGGGCTTGATCATCTTTTCTTCATTTATATTAATTTCTTTGGTGACCTCATGGCTTTAAATACTATCTACAAACCAGTAAGTCCTGAATTTATAAATCCAGCTTGTCTCTTCCATGGACTGCTGGCCCTTATAACTCATTGCCTACCTGACATCTCCATTTGAATGTTTATTAGGCGTTACAAAATTAACATGTCAAAATCAGGCTCTTAATCTTCCTCCCCACTCTGAATATTCCATAGCCTTCCTCTTTTCAGTAAATGGTAATTTTGTCTTGCTCTATATTCCTGCCGAAAACCTTCGAGTCCTTCATCCTTGACTCCTTTCTTTCATCTAATGAAATCAATCTACATCTGATCTGGAAATTACACTAGCTTTTGCCTTAAAAGTCTAACCAGAATCTGACGCTCAACATGTTCACTGCTCACTGGTGTCGGCCACTATCACTTGTTGCCTGACTTACTGTGATAACTGTTCCCCCTGCAACTTCTCTTCTCCCACCCTCACTGTTTCCTTCCTTAATCTGTTCCCCACACAGCAGCCAGAGGGAGCCTGGTAAAACATTAGTTATAACCAAGCATCTACTCATAACTGTCCAATGGTTATCCGTTTCACTGTTTAAAATACAAAGTCCTTCCAATGACCTGTAAGAGAACCCTTAAAAATGAATTCCATTTCTACTCTATCACTCCTCTAACTTTGTTTCTTACTGCTGACCCCTTATTCATTTTACTCCCACCACAGTTTCTTGTTCTTCAGACACACCAAGCACATTCTCACCTCAGGGCCTTTGTACTTGCTCTTCCATCCATCTATAATTCTTTTACCTCAGATACCTGCATAGATTGCTCCCTTCACATCCATCAAGTCCAACTTCCACATTCTAGGGAAGACGTAGCTCTAGAAGTCCTTGCTGACAGCCTAAAGTCTTACTTCAGTATTCCCTAGGGAACAACAAAGTTCAGGATATAAAGGGAAAGGAAACTTAGAAGGAGATAATGGAAACCCTGGACAGTAATTTTCATAGAAAGAAGAGGACAAAGGTATTGCGGTGCAGCCATTGGTTCAGGCTGATAAGAACTGAAAGGTACCTGTAGAACTTTAGGGAGCGTGAAGTCATTTGCCAGCGTGTTGTTGGTAGTATAATTTCTGCCTTCACCAAGCCTCTCAGGAAACTGGGTCCGTTCTGTCAGAGGACCAACTTTTCTTTTTTGGCTACCTATCCTCTCCCCTATACTGGTACCCGTTCCCATAACTTCAGTTACTGTCTTTACAGTGCTGACTCTCAAGTAAAGCACTTCAGCGCACTCTTCTTTGTTTTTTACTGTTACAGCCAACTAACCTATTAGACACAACCACAAATTCCTCAAACTTAAAATATCCTATACTAAAATCAATATGCATAAAAATATTCTCTACCCACCCTCGTCTCTCATCTCTTTTCCTCTTCCACCATCTATACCCTTGCCCAACACAGAAACTTAAGAATTACCTTTCATTCCTCGCTTCTCTTCACCTCTCATATCTAATTCATCAAGAACTGTCAATCTATCTTCAAAATATATCTGTCCCCCATTTCCCCCCATTTCCATTGCTATCATCTTTGTCCAAGCTACTATCAACTCTTACCCAGGCTTCTTCGATATATTACTAATTCATCTCCTTATTTCTGCTCTTGTTTATACACTCAGGATATATTCCCAACGTAACAGCCAGAGTGATCTTTTCACAATGTGCTGTATCAAGTCATTGCCCTGCTTAAAATCCACTGATGGTTTCTCAGCACATTTGGAACAAAAGCCAGATAAAGCTTACATTTTTTAACATGGCTATGAGGCCCTGCATGATCTGGCCTCTCCTATAAGTTCACGTGGTTCACCAGCATTTTTCCAAGCTATAGCATGGATATGTGCTTGAATAACCAATAATTTAAGATTTTCTTGTCGTACTTAAACCCACCAACCTTGGCTCTTCACCTCAGTAAAATCTACACATGGCTGTGTCCTCAAGAACTACTAAATTTTATGCAGCCTCTGAAATTCTCTAATTACAAGCACCAGTTGTCCACTGTCTGCCATGAACCATGATTTACATTTCTTTACAAGCTTCAAACAATCAACTATTGCCCACTGCCACTCTATGCATGTACCCTTCACTTTGTTGTCCTCCTTCCTTCTCCTGGCCCTTGTCATCAATAGCATTCACCGATCAGTTCCTAAAGAAAATGATTATTTAAAGTTTGGTCTATTTCTTTCTAGATTTTTAAATTTCATTTTCCAAAGTTATTTTACAAAGAAAAGGTATGTATTTTGGAGTAAGGCAGACACAGTCTCAAATTCTGACTCTACCAGTAACCGTATGTGTGATTTAATATCGCTGAGTCCCAGTTTACCCACACATATAACTGGGTAAAAATAGTATTTAACTCATAAAGTTGTTGAGGATTAACTAATATAATCCATATAAAGGTATTTGTTAAACATCACATAATACTCAGAAGATGTTCGGTATTATGATATGTTTGCACGTAAATGAACATTTTTCATAAATGTAATCATGTAACCCATACTGTTATTACTTTTTTCACATACAGTATATTTTCTGTAAATACATGAGGTTAGGGGCTATGTCCCTCTTTGCTAATTACTGTGTAACTACAGTCAGTCAGTACTTGTACGTATTTGTGGATTGTGATCAGCAGGAGAGTTAATTAATACTAAAGATAGCAGAGATTGAAAAATGGGTTCTTGATGATATCATCTAGTTACAGGGTTAACTCCACTGGAGCCACCTTCCTTATATTAACGCTCTTTGTAACATGAAATAAGAAATCCCCTTTCAGTTTTTATGCTGCTTTTCCAAGTCTCCTGATACAATAACATTTCACTGTATGAACATGTAGTGATTTATTTAATCAATTCTCATTAGATTGTAATTATTTGCTTTTATAAATTGCTTTATCAATTGTATAATGCATATATATTTATGTATTTGACCAATTATGTCCTCAAGACAAAATTCTAGAAGTAGAATTTATGAATCAAAAAATACAGCTCAGGTTGTTCTTCAGAAACAATTTACTAAATGTCCATGGATAGTGCATATTCACATTAGGCAATACTGTCAAATTTTTAAATCCTTGAAACAGTGGACAAGTGAATAATATATCAGTATTTTTAAATGTACATATCTTTTTCTGTTGCTTGCAGCCAAAAGCAGTCCTAAGAGGGTGTTTGACTTTTTTCTATATTAGTAAGTTTTCCCTATATATAAGGAAATTAGTTCTTCATCCATCACATTACAATTTTTTTCAGGTTTTTCTGACATTTTAAACTTTCTGCTGTTTGGAAATATAGAAGTATCTAACATCTCGTGATCAAATCTATTGTCTATAAGAAACCAGAAAGTCTTTAAATGGTTGGAGGACATAGTAGGAGAAAGACTTAATTTTTATTGCAGAATATTTTCTATTTTTTTTTTAATTTTTGTACCATGTATCCTATGCTATGTTTCTTGTATGGTATAGTCTTAATGTTTTTTGGCAATAGTGTTAGGTGTAAATAGGCCTTCTCTGGCCAAAAGCTAGAAAACCATTCTTCTATAATTTCCTATAACAGATTTGGGATTCCCTAAGAATTATGTATAGGATGTGGAGACGAGGACAACAACTATCTCTCCAAGTGTATAGCTATTTGTCTGTGCACCATCTGTAAAACACTCCTTTCTTCAACGACTGGGAATTCTACCCTTTTGAAATATAAAATTTTCATATATGTCCAAGTTGTTTAAATTCACTAGTCTTTCTACACCTGTCCTAATACTACATTCTTTTAGTTACAGTCACTCAACAGTATGATTTATCTTTTCTCTTTAAATTGTCTTTGCCATTCTCATGCAGTATATTAGAACATGAGAATACATGTGTCAGGTTTCTCCTGAGGTAGAGTTGGATTTTGATGGAAACTGCATTAGTCTGTTGACATTGATACGTGGCAGGAACAAGCATCTTTACAACAATTATATAAGAATATGTCATTTTATTATTTAATCTTTTATGTCCATCAGTAACTTTTCAAATCTTTCATAGTTTAGCCATTTCTTATTTATTCCTATTTTATAACATGATATTATTTGAGTGGGTTCTTTTTCTAACTGCACAGAAATCTTTAGATTTGTTTATATTTATATCTTATAAACAAACATCTTATTAAATTTTATTACTTCAAGTGGTTTTTCAACTGATCTCTTTTGCTTTCCATGTAGACATCATAATCTACAAATAATAACATTCTTCTAATATTTATACTTTACGTTTTCTTGATTTACACTGATTACAACTTACATTGTGAATAACAGCAGTGATGGTGGGTAATTTTGTCCTTTGC